TTGTTGGACCTAATGTAGCAACGTCTTTCGAAGATACCTCGGGCTAGAGGCATGCCTTCGGGCTACGAGTCAGCGACACCGGGCTCCACATCCTTGATCACGAACAGGAGGCCCGAATCCAACATAACTTTACGTCTGGGGTTTGCGGAGGAATAGGAGGGACTAGTACGAGAACCAACGCCAACACCCATACGCGGATCAAAGCGATATACGACGAATCTCGCCAACACTTCAGAACAGAATCGCGTTCGATGGGCCTAGCAGCTATCGGCCCTGTATCTGTCGACGTTCATGGGCCTTTGAAAGCCCAACAAGCCTAATTCCACCACGATTTTTAGGCAAAAGAAAACAATAGATCGTCAATAATCTTTGCACATGCAAGCGATAACGGCATCTAACTAAGTTACCATGGCTTCGAACGAGAACGATTTATGCGCGGACACGATTGTGGCCCTCGGACTAACAGCTCATCCGGAGGCATGGCAGGCAGATACTGCCTCAGTCACGACTTCTGATGTCTCATTATCAAACGCAGCTGTTGAGCTTCTCCAAGGCCTGGTCAGACAGGTATGTCACTCACAACTGGATTCCTCGACGCCGGCTCCAAGCATCATTAGTGCCTTAATGCATTGGAGGGGGGCGGGGGGGAAGCTTGACACTGACAACGAAGTTTCACAGACACAATTACTAGCATGTCTACAGTGGCTCAACGAGTTCCAGATCCTGGCATACGTCCCGTTGAGGACGAGGGTAGCCTACGACGACCTGGCCGATTTGACTGGTGTGCTTCCGCAGCAAATTCGGCGCATCGTGCGAACAACGGCGACTGCCGGTATCTTGTGCGAGCCGCATCCTGAAAGCGTAGCACATACTCCTCTATCAACCCTGCTGGTGAAGAAGCCATCGTTCCTGGATGCCGTGAATTTTACTGCCGAAACTGTAGTCCCCGCCTCACTGCGCATGGCAGAGGCCACTCGACTACAAATGCGACATCACAAAAAGGACGCCAGTCCATATCAGATTGCCACAAACTGCTCTCTCTCGCTAGCGGCTGCGTGTGAGAAGAATGCCAAGCTCCATCGCAGAGCAGTCGCTTTCCAGCGATTGATTACAAGTGGCGGAACGAGTGCCGTACTTCATATTCTTTCCTCCATCGATTTAGAGGGACTTGGAAAGGCCATAGTCGAGGTGAGCTTCCTCTTCTGAAGCTGGCTGCGAGGTGATAGTGTCTAACGAAACGATGGTGACAGGTGAATGCAGTTTCCACGGCGGTGGCGAAAGCACTCTACAGCCGCAGCCCATCTCACTGGTTTGTGGTCCAGGTACGCGAGGGGATCAAGCAGACAGAGTCAAGGCTTTCCTCGCAACGCGTGAACTCCTTAAGCTGGCTGAAGGTCCAGAGTCGCGTGCCCGGAACACCGCAAAACGAGACGGACGCGGCTGTTTACCTGCTTCACCTCCCTGATCCCTACTTCTACGGCTCTTCGAGCGAGCATGCCGAGATTTGCGTGGCAGAACTCCGAGCCCACTTTGATCTGCTGCGGATAAACGACAAAGCTACTTTAATCCTTATAGCAGATGTTGTTCCAGACACCTGTGGCTCCTCAGAAGCTGAAGCTCGGCTGCAAGACTTGCTGCTGCTCCAGCTGGGACACGATGTAGTATTTGATTTGAAACGGCTCAAGGGGCTGATGGAGTTTGCCCGAGAGGATGTCGACAGAATTACGGTCGTCAAACAGCTTTCGTCTAGTCGTCATTCCTTGGTTGCGTTTTTGTTGCGGTCGAGTAAAGGTTCGAGTTGATTGAATTTGAGGTAGAAATACATCAATAAAGTAAAGACTTCGCTGAGAATGAACTGATACTATTGCTCAGTTGAAATCTTACTACCACTCGTTCTCAAATCATCTCAGTTGTCTACTCATTATCTGACGTGTTCAGCATGGCTCAACGACACCCAAAGGGGTTTCTTAAACCATACGCCCCAGATATTCTGGTCAAACCAGTTTCCATACATAAGGTCTGTTTCAAGTCCAAGATCAAAATGCCACAAAACCTTCGCCATTATCAACCGGATCTCTGCACGCGCTAGGTTGCTACCAAGACAGTTCCTTGTTCCCATGCTCCAGGGCTGGTACACCGACCTGTTGTCCATTCTGAAGTCCAAGGGCGTATCCTTGAGCCAGCGCTCGGGACAAAACTCAGAAGCTCGGTAGAAGTTCTTGTGATCGAGGCACGCACCCATCATCGAAATACCGACACTCACCTATTGTGGCCAGTTAATTGATTAATATCAATGACATGATAAACACATCTACAAAATGAAAAACAGGGGATGGCAGAAAATGTTAGAGAGTAGCATGGACGTACATTCCCAGGAACGAATTTGCCACAAACGCTTGCGCCTCCCTCAGGCGAAACCCGCTGGCTATGAGTTGGGACAGGTGGGTAGAGCCGCAAGGTTTCCTGAAAAACGGCATCAAGGAAAGGTAGCTGGCCAACCGACAGCAGCGTGATCTCTTCTGCGGACTTGAACGATGACCGGACCTCTTGAACCAGCCGTTGCATGGCCTTGGGGTCGCTAAGAAGCAGATACGACATGCCACACAACGTTGTCGCGCTCGTCTCTGAGCCCGCCAGAACCATGATGCTGGCGTTATTAAGCATCTCCCCGCGAGTCATGCCCTCGCTCGCTGCTCTTGCATCGTCGCCGTCATTGTCGTCGTTGGAACTCTTGATCAAGATGCGGTCCCAAAAGTCCCCGCGGTCAGTACCGTGTCTAAGCCGCTCATTGACCTTTTCCTCAGAAAACTTGTAATTAGCCAACCTCTGTTTCCGGACCGTCTTGGAGATGAAAATGGGAACAAGAAAGTCCAGGCCGAACTCGTAGAAGACGCTGGACTGCATCGCAAATTTGACCGTCGACGATATAGCGGGGATCCACGCATGCAGCCTGCCGTCGCGGAGGGAGTGGAAGGACTCGCCCCATGCAAGGTCACCGATGACGTCGAAAACTACCATGTTATACCACTTCGTGAGGTCAAGCTTCTCACCGGTCGAGGCGAACTTTGACAGGTTGTCGATCAAGAGTTCGACGTGCCTCATAATGAGCTTTTCCTGCTGCCGAAGTCCTCTTTCGGAAAAGGCGCCAGAGAGGAGGCGGCGATAGCGGGAGTGGTCTTGCTTGTTCGCGCCGAGGATGTGCTAGACGATGCACCTTGTTAGTCCAACTGAATTAAAATATAGACATACCGTCGACTAGTTGACGAACACTTTGCTTGTTCGGATTGCGCCTTTGGCGCCGAGGATCCTTTGGAAACTCTGGCCTGCCCGGGTGGTGCGCGTAGATGTCGTTCCACGCTTGCGCGCTCGTGTAGCTCAGCTCGTCTGGCCGAACACGAACGACATCCCCGTATTTGAGATGGAGTTTCGCTTGAATATGCGTTCGCCTGCCCGTTATCTGGTGATAACACCAGGGGAAACTGCTCATCCTCCATAACAAAGGCCCGGGATAGTCGCGTAGTGGGTGGAAGAACAGGTTGTATATCGCAGTTCCCACGAGACACAAGAGCACTGCTGCTGCGACGCCGACCGAGGCCAGAGTCAACCGGCTATTCATAAATACTAGTCTAGCAATGAATAATTCCATTTTTGTGAGGGTATGTTGAAGTTCGGCTGTTTTGAGCGGCTGCCAGTTGCGTGACTCAAGAACGTCAGTGGAATCCTATGAATTGTAGCCCGCCTGGCTCAGTCGATGCTCAAGTATCAACATATTTTTCTCAACATTATCAACTGCTGCCCGTTTTGCAATCCACTCTCTGCGTGTTACAGCAGACTACACCGTGCCTGCCATCCAACTAATGCCACGGGCATTCTCCATGGTTGCAAGTTCAGCTCGTTGACCGATGACCCACCTCGGCCGGTCATAATCTATCGGGCTTCGGGTTTGGTGTGACCGGGTCAATTTAATCGTAACACGCTGTTGGCTAGTGGGCCCCATCGATGCTTGGTTGGCAGGATTTCCCGTCTGCGGTGTTGGCTCTTCGGCGATCATGCCAACTGCATTTTTCCGCGCCAGGGGTCGTTTACGGGATGACTCTTGTTAGCAGTCCAGCGGGCTCAATGTCAAAATTTGGCGGGCTGGATCGACGGCATAGATCAATCATGTAAGCCCCTACATGTTAATCAGATTCGCCGCTGCACGCTTCCAGCGACTTAAACTTATGTTCTTAATCTTCCTATCACCCGCTGTCGCGTGTATATAGCCATTTTGATACCTTCGGTTACTACTTCCTGTTGTTGTTGTACTTGTTGTTGTCCAATTTCTTTAGTGTGCTGTACTCACCATGGATGTAGATAGCGAAATTCCACCACCTCTCCCAGACGATCCTCGCAGCCAATTTCTCTGTCTAACGATTCTCGGCTATCGCAAACAGAGTCTCTCTGAAGAAGAATACAGGCATTATATGACGCAAGTTTCAGCCTCTTTGACGCGGGATCTCATGGTCAAGTACGGTATCAAGCGGTGGACAATGGTGAGAATCCTAGCTCCAAATGCTCCGCTACGAAAGTAACACTGATACTGTATAACAAAAGATTCACAACACATCGCAGACCCGTCAGCTTATGAGTCTCCTAATGGATCCACAAATGGCCAATGTGGCCGACTACGATTGTTTCAGCCAAGTCGTGTTCAAGGATGTCAATGACTACAAGAAAATGAAAGAAGACCGATGGTACAAGGAACACTTAGTTGGAGACCATGAAAAATTCGCCGATACAACGAGAAGCAAGATGACGATTGGATGGATCACAGAGATTATCAAGGATGGGAAGGTCGTTGAGTCGGTGCAAGGATAGTGCTAGGAAATATTTTGCATCTGCAACATATCTCATGCCTCGCCACCGAAAGATTTCTGATCACTTGAGTGAGGTGCGAGAATCTAAGTAGCTAGTAATCGTTGGCGTTGTCCTGGATCTAAGTCTCTCGCTGATGTCCCTACTTAATTTTCGCGTTGGTTAGGTAAGCTCTGCTGGACATCGTACTATAAACGTCAAAATGAATATACAGTTGGCCGATGAGCGAAGCTTCCTAGTCTCGCGAAATCAATGAGAAACGCAATTTTGAACAAACAAACCTCGGACGAACATGAAATCAAATGTCTCCAACATCAGAAAATAGCTACTATCTTATGTGATCCTGACATGGTCCAACAGCTTTTCCTCAAACCTGCCGAACAATCTCTTTAGCACTTAAAACCCCATAAGATCTTACTGCTCCTTCGAGAATCCTAGCAAAGATATCCATAAACTCCTCAGTATCCCGTTGGTTCAGTGTGGAAAGAATACACAACTGGAGACTGTCAGCCTTTGACGAATCCGTCTCTACAACCGTCATCTCCAACGCCGCGAACGGCCAGACCATTGCATAACCGCATCGATCCTCGACAACCCCCCGTAGAGCGGCCGCAGACTGCCTTTCTTCTTTTTGGTTGACAATATGATTGAGAAGCACGTTACCCCAACGCCGCTGCCTCGCCGTCGCCTCGGGACCCGTGGCAACGAGATACCCGTCCTGGTAATACGGATCCGATTCCTGTGTCGTCAGCCAGTTGCTGAAGGCGCGCCGCGAGATATCCACAATGTCGGCCTCGGCGGGGACAGGGACTCGGATAGGGCTGATGGATATTAGGGCCCCCTCCATCTCAGATGCATCTTCGATGTCGGCGCGGTTGGCACTGAGTCGATAGTAAACCACCTCTTCCGGCATTTCTTGCGGCCCTCCCGGTCGCCACCATTTCAACACACGGGCTATTGTCAGAGAGGTTGCGGCGTGGATCAGCGCAGCAGGTGTGATATGGTGACTCCGGCACCAGGCGCCGTACGGGAGTGAATCAATTCTCTTGAAGAGAGGAGGGGCTGGGAGGGCTTGAGGGGGAAGCTTCCCTTCATCAGGTATCGGAGTTGCTCGTGCCCCGGTCATGAAGTCTTCCCAGATTCTCATGTGCTTCTGTAATACAGAATCTGGGGAACTGCCTAAGCCATCAACGCCGTATGTTTTGAGCGCCCACTGCTCCATCGACGGCCTCGCCGCATTCTCGCACGCCTCGGTCAAGAAGCGCTGCCATCCTCCCTGGCAGCTGTCTCTCTGGATTATGGACGCAAGAATTGCGTGAAGGTCTTCTGCAATATTACGTGCCACCCATGCGTCGACAATTGAGTGGTGAAAAGTCCATGCGAGAAGCCGCGGATTCGACAAGAATGCTACTCTCCAGAGCGGTCGAAGGAATGACCAGGGCCTCATCGAATCTCTGATGCGATGAATGTCGGGGTCTACGATCTCGGTGTCTTGGGAGAGGTCAATTTTCAACTCGGATGGCTTGAGCACAGCCTGAACGAATTCGGCATTCTTGATCAGGTCGAAGGCGCTGTCAGGGGTTTCGATTGTCTTTGGGTTGACCGACACGTCTAGAAGAGAAAATACGGTCCTTAAATTCTGTTTCTTCGACACCAACAGACGGATTCCTTCCAGAAGTTGGGCTTCGGTGCAGTCGGACTGGGAGAGGTCGAAGAACTGATAGAACATCCATGATTTGGGTTCCAGTATGCTGGTCACGAACATCTCTCGTTGTAGGATAGTGCTCGGAAATACGGCTTCGAAGCTCTCAGAACCGCACTCGGTATCTAAGGCCATTCTCCGCAGCAGGCCATTTGTTGCGCTTGGAACTGGTTTGACGGATTTGATCAAGATCGATTCAAAGGCGTCTTCCTCCTTAGCAGAGAGCGTTAGAGCCACGTCTGCAAGACTTCGCGTACTGTAGAGCGTAGCCATGGGTAGATCTATCTCTCGTTTACGCAGTTGAGCCCTGAGTTGGAGAGACAGCAAGGACGTGCCTCCATTTTCGATGAAAGACCGAGCCTGAATACTTTGAGAGTCTTCCAGGGAGATTGCATCACAGTCTGAGCCAGCCAGGATTTCTGTGGCCAAGTCCAGAAATATTCTGCCGTTGCCAAGGATAAATTTCGAATCTTTCTGCAGATAGCCATCTGTCATGACCAGGCTTCCGCTGTCGATGAGACTTTTAGCAGCCCTGGTCAAAGCGGCTGTGTCTGTCTTCGCCGTGGCAGTTTCGGGGAACTTCTTAAAGCGCAGCCATCTATGTGGCTTCATGTACGCCGGTAAATGATCAGAACAAGCCACTTCGGCCTTGCAAATGAAGTCAGCCCAAAAGCTATCGGCATCAATATCGGCAGTCAGGATATCAGTCAGAACCACACAGCACGTAATGACCGGACGTCTTACAGACGGCTCGATAAGTATGACCCTGCATCTGATCACGTGCGGTATCTGACTGATGATGTACTCGACCTCCTCCGGCTGTACGCGGTTACCGTCTATCTTGAATTGAAAGTCAACTCGGCCTAGTAAGACGAAGGCCTGGTCACCAACAAAGATACCCAGGTCTCCAGTCCTGTAGATATAGGTGTGACCCGCGTCTCCTGGGAATGGATGAGGCAAAAAGACCTGTGAGGTTGCACCGGGTCTGTTGATATACCCCGAACTCATCCATGTTGAGCTGAGGCATATTTCTCCTGGAGTGTAAAGCGGGCAGAGCTCTATAGTACCCGGTCGAAGGATGTAGAGAGAGTAATCAGAGCTGGGAAGTGAATGATAGGGCGGCAGAGTTCCGGTGCTAGACAAAAGGGTGTCAACATGGCTTGATCAGGACGGTAGATTATCAAAGAGTCTGCTTACGGCTCGTCATGAAAAGGCAGACAGTGAGAGTTCATTTCCGTGGCGCCGTAGCCTATGCGTAAAGAAACATAAGGGCTCCATGTTCCCGTGACAGTACATGAGGCGGCTTCCCCAACAAGAGAGACAGTCTTAAGACTAGGAACCTGGCTTGGGTTGATGAGTGAGATAGACGAGGGGGTGATGCACATATCGTCAATCCGATAACGGTTGATGCAGTTCGCAAGGTCTGAGGTGATCTCATCTTGGGGAGGAATGAAGAGGCACCCTCCATTGGTCAAAATCGTCCAGATGGCAGTGCCAGACGCAGAAGAAATGGGGTTGAAGAAGAGCAAAGACCTCGAAGCCCGTGTTCTTCCAGCATAACTAGCGATTGAGGAGCCAAGCGTCGCATGATCGTGTAGAGAACATTTTGGTCTCCCAGTAGAGCCAGAAGTAACTCGGAACCACGCTGGTCGACGGAAGTCTTGCAAGAGATTGATGCAAGAGTCAAGGGGTACTCGGTCAGCTTTTTCGGTGGCAGAAAAAGTCCTCCTTTTTAGTTCTTCAAAATCGTACTGCCATGTGAGGGCTTCCCAAGAGGCAGCATTCTCACGTTGCGACTTGTCCACGATTAGGAGACTGCAACCGCAATCCTCAATGATGTGACCATTCCTTGACTTGGGCTGGTTGGGATCAACTAGAACAACGGCAAATCCAGCTTTCCAGCACGACAAAACTGCAGCCACGATAGCAGGTGACCTCTCCAGCATGATTCCTACGACAACGCCGCAGTCCATGACCAAGCCGGTATTGAGTGGATACGGGGCAACGCCCGAAAGGCGAAGGCCCAGGTCTCTGGCCATTAGGTCAGACATGAAGTCCAGTTCGCGGTAGGTCAGCACGTATTCTCCGGTGCCCTCAATTGCAGGAAGATTTGGTGTCCTGCTAGCCTGACGGCGGAAGAGCTGATGTACCGATCCAAATTCGAAGTCAGCGAGGGAAAGTCCAGGCCGGCAATCGTGGCGGATCTTCAGCTCCTCCTCGAGAGACATCATGGAGATGTCCCTGACGACTAGGGATCCCCATGTCCTATGGTTGATAATGTGCCTTAACAAGTGCAAGAAATGGTTTACCACAGCATCAATGTGATGTTTGGGCAGCCATGATTGGTAGTGGCAAGTGGCTTGAAGTGTTTTTGGACGTTTGGATAAGAGCTGAATGGAGGTGTCTGATCTTATCCGTCGTGATAGAGGCAGCGAAGATAGAGTCGCGCCAGAGTATGATGAAGGGTAGACGATCAAAATGGAAGATGTTGCGAGGGAGGATGAGTCCTGGTCGTTGTGCAGTGAGACATCCGACGCCTGATTTAGCAAATCGGAGAATGATGCATCTTCATCAACAGACGCGTGGAAATTTGCGAGTGAACCGAGGGATGATCCACTCGAGGTACTTCGAGGCAAGGCATCCGTTGCTAGGAAAGTCACAGAGCTCTGGAGAGTGTGGCGACTCAACACAACGGACCATGCCGCGCTACAAAGACGCCACACTGCTATGTTTTCGGCGATGGCGCGACATTCGATATCCCCAATGTCGAAGCCTGAAATATCGAAACCTGTGACCTTTTGGCATAGGGTGTTATCTTCGTCGTTGTCGATCGTTAAGAGCCCCTTGAGGTTCCGAAATGACATGTTGTTGATGAAATAGGGCCACGAAGAATCCCTGAGCGACTTATCGAAAGTGGATGATTTGAAGGGGTCGGAAAATAGTTCGAAGGCAGACGGAGGGAATCAACTGGCAACGGAGCTGCAAGTTGTGTGTCAAGTGTTACGAGAACTTGAAAAGTAGACGCCAAAAAGACGCAGGACTACGGCAAACATGACATAGGATCGAGAACTAAAATCACATATGACTGCTCAAGGCTGTAGATAATTTCGGAAACCCAAGGCCAAGCCCGTCTCCCGTGGTCTAAGATCAGTCCGGGGTTTAGAGGTCAGCGAGGGCCAGGAAGAGACACCGGGCAGGTAGAAAATGAGAGAGATAGGTGGGAAACGTAATTCCGTTGTGAAAGAGACTCTTGAATGAGCTAGGACGGGTTCGGCGTTGAGTGATGTGCTCGATGCCACCGCTAGTTGAGCCAAACCCCGAAACCCGAGTCCGGGGCCCGGCTACGCGACATTGATTCCCAATATCCATCAGCATCGACGAAGAATGCCTCAATGATGCACTCAGTCAACCATAGAGTTAGATAATACCAAAGGGATCAGCGGAATACCGTAAGTTGACTGCTTTTTTGGAGAGTGTCATTTACCTTGTGATCTAGCGGTTATTCCCATTTCGAACTTGACTAATACCTGATTACATTGACTCAAGGTTTTGGGACAGAGCTAAACCTCTATTATTACTTCAGCGCCAGTACTTGCTTACCCATCGCCAACTCATTATTCTGAGGACCAAAAGAATCGAAATTCCTCCTGCCAGCATTGCTCTCATCTCAGCTCCGGCACCATGGGCAGCATCATCGAGGTGTCGGATCTCAATAGCTTCGGCAACAAACAGAGACAACCAAGTATCACCAACGAGAAGAAAGCTAATGGATTGTTCCAGAGAGACATATTTTTTCCGTCTCTTATCCAGGCTTGTGCGCGTATGGAGCCTTTGCGAGTTTGTATCGTCTCTAGCACGACAACGCTCGATTTCAGGACTCTCTGGGCCCAGGTAGCGACAAATGCTGAAAGATTCCGGGAACATGGTGTCTTGAAAGGCTCGAGGATTATCATCGTGTCGCAGTCTTCCCCGGCTGCGATTGTCGCCCTGCTTGCCGTTCTCAGCGCGGGAGCCATTGGCGTACCGTTGAGCTCATCGTTGCCCGTGTCTCGCATCCAATCAATCGCCCAACTAGGAGGAATCACGCATCTGATTGACCTCACGGAACCTTCCAAGCAGATCAGCCTACCCGGTGTTACTCGACTCATACTTGATTTATGCGTGCAGGGAACAGCATCACAACATGTACCCGATTTGTTTCCAGAACAGGATGCGAAGTCACCAGCCGTAGTAATTTACACCTCTGGCAGCACTGGAGAGCCCAAGGGCGTTGTTCACTCCCATGCAAGTCTCAGCACAATGGCTTTCGCAGTTGGTAACGCCCTACGACTGGGTCCAGCCGAACGCAATCTTCTATTTCCATCTTTTGGTTGGGCCGTGAACCTGATCGACACCTTCTCAACTCTCGTATCTGGTGGCTGCCTTTGCATACCGACAGATTTAGAAAAGTCTCAAGGGCTGGAGGATACCATCACTCGCTTTGCTGCCACGCGAACAACCTTACCATCTTCGGTGCTGGGAATAATGGATGCAACCGCCGTCCCAAGCCTGACTGGCCTCGTGCTGGCTGGAGAACCAATGCGACCAGACCTGGTAGATTCTTGGAGTTCTCGCCTGGAAATTTACTGGAACTACGGCTCTTCGGAAACCCTCATGGTTCTGGTTGGGAGTGTCAACGAAGGCGACATCATGAACTCCGGTCATGCCCTCCAGTGTTGCCGTTGCTACCTTATTGATGATGGTGGTTTTCCAGTTCTCCCTGGAAAAGCTGGTGAACTTGTTGTCGAAAGTTATACCAACTTCATGGGATATCTCCGGGAAGGCAAAGTCCATCCCAGCGAGCGTAGCTCAGGATGTTGTCCAGTCGTGCGTTCTGGAGACCTCTTTTTGCAAGATATTCGGAATTCAACTTTCACCCACCAGGGACGTCTCGACTGTCAACTAAAAATTTCTGGCCAAAGATTTGAGCCGCAGGAGGTGGAGAACAAGCTTCTATCGGCTCTGGAGAATGTCAAGGAGCTGGCCGTGACGGTCGCCATCTTGAAAGAGAATTCTAGCAGGCCTGCTCTCGTGGTGCTCGTCGTTCTCGAGCAATCTTCTGTTACTAAAAAGGCTTCTCTCACCCTTTCGGAGTCTTCATTTACAAATCTTGTGCAGACCCTTCCATCCTACATGATTCCAGTCGGGGGCCTATCTGTCGGCAAGCTCCCCAGGCTTCCCAACGGCAAGCTCGATCGCAGAAGCCTTGTTTCTCTAGCAGAACAGAAAACGTTGGCTGAACTGATCGACTTGCGACCTACTACAGGGAGTCAGCTACAAGAATATGACGTTGCAGTAGCAGACAAGATCGCTCTTGTATGGGCCAATGTCTTGGGCTTGGAGGTCGCGGCCATCGATCCTACCTCCAGCTTCCTTCTCCTAGGCGGCAACTCTCTCTCCGCACTTCGAGTCTGCAAAGAACTTCGCGCGGCTGGTATCATGTCGTCAATCTCCGACTTTTTTCTCCACCCGACTTTGAAGGCAATTGTACAATTAGTTGCCCAGCGAAGGACGCCTCAATCAGACAAAGTTCGTCGACCGCCGCAGGGAAACCAGTCTGTCGCCAACGTAAATGCCGATGAACTTCTTTTGATGGCGGCAGAGCAGTGCGGAGTTAGCGAGAAGCTGATTGAGGAGGTGTTTCCGTGCACACCGATGCAGGCGGCACTGATGACGCTCAGTGAAGTCCAAGACGGTGCGTACATTGCGGAGCATGCTTTTCGTCTCCCGAGAACCTGGGCGAAGACGGACTTTCTTCGAGCCTGGAATGTTGTCCTCCGTAATACACCGATGTTGAGAAGCCGCATCGTGCGCCATCTGAACGGAAGACTGTATAACGTCACGATGCTGTTTGATGAAGGTTGCGCACTGCCATCAGAGTCTTTTTCTCAGCGACCTCCAATGGCATGCGGATCTCAGCTATTTCAGCACTGTATTCATGACGCTCGAGGAGATGAAGCTGGCTCAATCTGGCGTTGGCGGATTCATCATTCCGTATATGATCGATGGTCAACCCATCTGATCCTCGAGATGACCCAGAAAGCATACAGGGACCAACGGATACCTTCACCGACACCATTCTCGACATTTTCATATGCCGTGGTAAATGAACAGTTGTCCGAAGGGGCGAAAGAATTCTGGAAATCCAGGCTGGAATCCTTCACTGGGAGTGTCTTTCCGCAACTGCCTCTCGATCGGTTCATCTGCCGGGCATCAAGCTGCGTCACTGTCGAGTGCAACATTCAGCATCGATCTTCCGCCGTAACTCAAGCAACATACATTCAAGCCACTCTTGCTTTGGTAATATCCAAAGTGCACGGAGAGTCAGACGTGGTCTTTGGCATGACTGTCCATGGACGGGGAATGTCCAGCGATCTGGATGTGGAGACAATAGTCGGCCCGACCATCACAAGTGTTCCGATGCGTATTCATGTGGATTCCCAACTGCAGGTTCTTAGATTCCTAGAGCTTGTACAGGCCCAAGTCGCCCTGACGTCGGATCACGAACATTACTCTCTGCAAAACATCAAATCGCTTGGGCCAGGATCTGCGTCTGCCGCATCGTTCACGACACTTCTCATTATACAGCCGGATTTCGAGTCTCGCTTTAGCCGTGACACTGAAGTTATTGTCGAGATCGAAAATGGTTCTTCTGATTCCTACGTGGACTACCCACTTGTCGTTGAGTGCTTCCCACGCTCAGGGGGCGTCACAGTGAAGATGCTGTACGATCCAGCCGTTCTTACCAGATGGGACGTTGAAATGATGGCAAAGCAGTTCGAGCAATTGCTGCTCCAGATCGAGTCCAGCTTAGATCCAGCAACGGTGGTTTCAGACTTGAAACCCCTGACACATCAACAAGCTGCAGACATCCTCAAGTTCAGCTGTGGCGATCTGACTGAGCATCAAGAATGTCTCCAAGAGCGAATCTTCGCCAAAGCAAGAGAATGGGAGACGAACGACGCTGTTCAAGGATGGGATGCCAGATACACCTATTCTGAGCTGCAAAGCACTGTGAAGCTGCTCACTCCGCGTGTCACATCTCATCTCGGAGGCAAGACTGATGGAAAAATCATCCCCATCTGTTACGAGAAGTCGGCGGCTGCCGTGGTCGCGATGCTGACCACGCTATCAGCGGGCTACGGCTTTCTCATGATCGATTCCGGCCTTCCCACCCATCGTATCAAGTACATGCTTGAGGTCATCGGGGCAAATTGTGTTGTCTGCTCGAACGCTACCCAAGAGCTCGTTCTGGACATCGGAGCACGACCAATCAACTTTGAGGGCATGTTCCATGACAAGAGTTCCCAGGCGGTGTGCTCCTCAGACGGCGCGATGTGTTCTCCGGAGTCGCCCGCGTACTGCATATTCACCTCGGGCTCAACCGGATCTCCCAAGGGAGTGGTCCTGTTACATAAACAAGTCACAAGCGGCCTCGAAGCCCAATGCAGTGTTGGGCTCTATCCTCGCGGTGCGCGTCTTCTCCAGTTTTCCAGCTACAGCTTCGACACGTCCATAGCTGACATCTTCGCGACGTTGTTGAGCGGCGGCTGCGTGTGCATCCCAAGAGATGAGAGCAAGCTGCTGCAGCTTGCCAAGAACATCAACGAGTTCTCCGCCAACGTGATTGACCTGACGCCGTCGGTAGCAAGAATGATTCAGCCAGCCGATGTACCAAAACTGGAGGTTCTCCGCCTGGGAGGCGAATCAATGCACCAGCATCACATTGAAACATGGGCGAAGCGTTGCAACCTGCAGAACACGTACGGCCCGACCGAGTGCTGCGTCCAGTGCACATTTGTCGACCATATTGACAACTCTACGTCTTCTTCGGTCATTGGGAAAGGCATTGGATGTCACACGTGGGTTGTTGATCCGCAGACTCACGACCATCTGATGCCGTTGGGGGCCGTTGGCGAGCTCGCTATTCAAGGCCCCGCCGTTGCTAGTGGATACATCAACAACTATACGAAGTCCAAGCATTCCTTTCTCCCCAAAGCGCCTTGGCTCGCGACCTACAACGTCGAGTGTGCTTTTCCCACATACCTCACAGGAGACCTGGTCAAGTTCAACGAACAGGGCAACCTGATCTTCGTCGGAAGGTGTGATAACCAGATAAAGATCCGAGGACAGCGCGTCGAACTGGAAGAGATTGAGAATATTCTCCAGCAACATGCCCTCACGAAACAGGCTATAGTATCTTACCCAGCTAAGGGGCCACTCGCATCGCAACTCGTGGCCATTCTTGAACCATCACACATGCGCCCTTCCAAGTCGTCTTCGCCTCCGGGTCCAGCCATTGACTTGCAACAATTACACAAACGGACCGAGGAGTGGATGAAAGAGAGCGCTCAGCAGGCCGCTAACTTCCTGCCTCATCACATGGTGCCCTCGGTATACCTCCTGGCAGACCGGGTGCTGCTCTCAGCATCGGGTAAGCTCGACCGACGATCTATACAGCAATGGCTTGAACAGATTTCCGCCGACAGACTTGAGTCTCTGCAAACTTATTGCAGGGCCAGCGGCTCTTGTGGACCCTCAAAGTCGCCATTATACGAAATTCCCCAATCCGTCATGTTGCCCATCATTGAGCAGATCCGCTACCTTCTTTCATGGAGGTCGGGAGATGAAAATGTCCAATTTTCCACCCGGCACACGTTTTCCCAGATTGGTCTCGACTCAATCACAATCGTCCCTCTACTAAAATGGGTGAATAAGACGAATGAAGTGTGCATGGATATGCAGACGCTCCTGAGACTCGAAACCACCTATGACCTTGCGTGCTACCTCCACCAAGGTAGGAATGCGCAAGAACGAGGCGATAGCGTCGATAGCGATGGAAAGTTCCAAGACATCATTACGAAAGGTGTCAACAGACTCTGTAAGAGCGACCCGGAACAGCGGCCTCAACGAGTCCTCATAACAGGAGGCACCAGCCTCTCCGGTCTCACCATCCTCCTTCGCGTCTTAGAACAGTACTCGTCACTTCATGTGACAGTAATGATGCGGTGCGATGATGTTGCAACCGGGAAACAACGTCTCGTCGAGAAGGCCCAGCTTCTGGGCTCATGGAAGCCTATTTTCAGCGGCAGGATCGAAATATGGCCAGGAGATCTCACTCAAGATTGCCTAGGCCTTTCCCAGTCACATTGGGATCAGCTTGGAGGGCATGGAGACCCTTCCAAACACTTTGACGGCATTATACACAATGCGGCGGCAGTGGATTGGTTCGGAGGGTTCCAGGCCCTACGGAAGGTCAACGTAGACGCCGCGCTTGATCTGGTTGAACGCGCGAAGAACTCTCCGGCCACCAGACGTATTGTGTATATATCCGGAGGCCCGCAGTGGGATCCTGAGGAGTTGGCTGAAACCACCATATCGGAGAGGGGTGTGCTGGAAGACGTGTTAGCGCAGTCGAACGCATACGGACAGACGAAGTTGATCACCGGCGCCATCATTCAGCGCGCGGCGGCTAGCAACCCGCGTCTGGCGGCAAAGTTCGCCGTCGTCCGTCCGGCGCTCATCATCGGCTCCTCGGTAGACGGGGTGCCTAACCTCGATGACTTTGTCTGGCGTGTGGTAATGGGCTGCCACACCATCCGCGCATTCCCGGAGGAACCCATGGAGAACTGGGTTTACCTCTGCGGCGCTGACAGGTTTGCTGACATTGTTATCGACAAGTTGAATTCCTCAACCAGAGGCGAGGTATGCGAGACGAGGGTTGAGAACGGCCTTTCTGTCGGTAGGTTCTGGGAAGTTGTCAACCAGGTATTATCAGATACTGTCCTAGAGCCCCTCGATTACGGCGCGTGGCTCAGGCGGCTGAAGAAAGATATGAATGCCTCGACTCATGATGCAAGCTTGACGGAGAGCCATCCGTGCCAGCCGATTATGCACATTCTCGAGTCCACTTCGGAGATTCTCGGAGCAGCAACACCCAGATTTGATAACCAGGAGCGGCGTTCGAGGATGGAGGACGAGACTGCGTGGGTGTTGCAGAAAAACGTCCAATACCTGGCTGACATTGGGTGCTTTTCAGACGCAGCAGTGTCTTGGTCTGCGAAAGCTTTCACGCGTAGCAAGGTTCGAACAAGACTGACAAGGAGCTTGCCTAAATCAAAGTAGATAAATCGAGTTTAGAATAGAGTCTTCATAGTGAAAGTTGAGAATGAATGGCCAAAACGTCATTGTGTTTCAAGCCAGCCATCGTCCTTTCACAAGAATTCTGCTAAGAAAGAGAAAGGGAGCTTGCGCAATTTTGATAATATCTTCATTTTGAATGTGACTTGACCACCTCAATCAGAACTAATCTCACCCCACCTGCAGCCATCGTCATCGTACCTGACTGTATAACTTTTAGACGGTCGCAATTTAGTCAATACTTCATCAAGGTTTCATCAAAGTACGGAAACGCCCTCAAAAAGCCGAGTTGTGGAGCTCGTTGGCTGGCTATTGTTGTGAATAATGATGATTATATTGATAGACTACTGTTGTATTCTACCCTTGTGTAATGTAGCTATGCAAATCCCCTTCTCTAATGGCACCTGGGTTCCGGCACTTTGATGAGCTGCTTTCCGCTAGATTGTCATGGTCTAGAATTATAGCTGAACCTTGATCCGAGCACACCGTCGGGAAAAACATGATCCACATGACTATACTCGAAATTTGATACACAGTCGGTCGCCCCCACGAAATAGTATCTAGATGCCTAAATCGCGTTGTTCATAGCCAGAACATTAATTGTATTGCCCAGACCTCAGACTATGTGATTCTCTGCTCACCCGTCCTTACTAGTTGATTTGGGCTTCTCGTCGCCCTTCACGCTCTTCCACTCCAACGTGAAGGATCCCAGCGCCGACAGCGATGCCGTGACAGCGCCGACAATAAATACCCATCTGATCGCCTCGTTATACTTTAAAAGCACGGTAGGTAGGTCTGCTGCCGGTAAGATGTCGCGCAAAGCCGTTGCGCCGGTGTTCACAATAATTTGCGGATCCAGGTCCTTGACGGCGTCGGTGAGCCCCTCGATGAGCTTGCGGTTGAGCACGTTCTGGCCGACAGAGACGAAGATGGCGCCCCCGAGCTGCTGGCAGAAGAAGACGAGTGACACCGCCATCGGTATATGTTTCCGCTGGAGCACCGTCTGCACGGCAATGGGACCATGTTGGAGCCCCAGACCGATACCGAAGCCGAGAATGATCTGGAATCCGATCCAGCTCCCGATACCCGTGTTGACTTTGAACGTCGAAAGAAGCCCCGCGCCGATGGGCATCAGAACGGAAGAGAGCATGGTAAAAGGCGTGTAGTAGCCCAGGCGGCCCACAAGCTGACCGGACAAAGTGCTCGCGACCACGAGGGATATGACGAACGGGAGCGTGGCAACGCCAGAGTCCACGGCGCTCTTGCCCTTGATGACCTGGAACCAGATGGGGAGATAGTAGATAAGAAGAAGCATAGTCGAGGCGAGGCAGAACATGTACCACATGGCCGAGACCACGGTGCGGTTCTTGATGACCTCCAACTGGATGGTTGCATTCTCCTGTCTCAGAACCTCTACCACGATAAAGACGACCAGGCAGACGGCGAACATGACGAGCAGGAGAATAACGCGCCAGCTGTTCCAGTCGTACGTGATTCCTCCCCATTGGAGCGCCAGAAGCAGACAGATCAGCGAAGGGAAGAGAAACAGCTCACCGAGGAGATCCAGTTTTTGTAGCTGCTGGCGGACCGTCAGGCCCGGAACTGCCACTGGGGACGGCTTCAGCGCGAAGAAGATGACAACCATGGCCGCGCCCCCAATGGGGAGGTTGATGAAGAAGCACCACCGCCAAGTGACCCTACTCGTGAACGCGCCGCCGAGGAGCGGGCCGACCACCGAAGACGTGCCCAGGACGGCACTGAAGAAGCCGTTATACAGCGGCCTCTTCGCCAGGGGCACGGCCCCCATCATGAGGACGATGGCGCCAGACAAGATCCCTGCGCTACCCATGCCGGCGATGGCGCGCCCGATGATGAAGACGAGTGAGCTAGGCGCCGCCCCGCAGATGGCGGAGCCGATCTCGAAGATGCCGAAGAGCGCGAGAAAGACGTACTTGGCCGGGTAGAAGGTGTAGACCTTACCCCAGAGGAGCTGGAAGCAGCAAGTTGTGACCATGAAGGCGCTGCCATACCAGCCGATATCTTGGATGCTGTGAAACTCGTCCGTCATCCGGGGGATGGCTGTTGCAATAATGGTTCGGTCCTTGGGAGTTGAGAGTTCGAGTTAGTTGCCTCTGCGGGTGTTCACACGGTTGAAAGGGGTTGGCTGAATCGAGAATTTGAAGGGGGAGGGACTGTAACCTCACCAGAGACATGAGGAAGATGGCGCTCAGGATGCAAGCCATGATGACCGCAACCTGCGCGGACCCGGGATATTCTGGCTCCTCTGAGGGAGCAGCCGACGAGTGCCGTTCCAATACGTTGTCGTCGGCTTCGTCCTTCTCATTATTGTCTAAAGGTTGAGAGGACGAGGCGAGTTCAGCCTGTTTGGTTGGCTGTGAATCGGCAGGGTTTGCCACGGGCGGCTTGATCTCCTTGGACGCCTCCATTTCCCGATCGTTTTGGACTTTATGGGGCTCTACTGTGTGGGAAAGATATGCTTTGTGGATGTTTGACTGGTTTCCTGGTTGCTGAATTGGTCCTCTCTACTGCCAGAGTCGGTTTTGATGTAATATGCCAAGATGCCAAAATGACTACCGATCACCACCGCAAGGGGGAATGTCTAAAAATCCGAGAATGGTAATTCGGCCTATTAACGGACAAAATGCAGGACTAGTGCCGATTGCTTGTTTGGCTACACATTCCTAACTGCATTAAAGACTACCAATTGCATTGAGGCGCGTCGTACGGGACTCGGGACTCGGGCTTCGGGTCTGGGGGGGGGAGACAGGGGTGACGGACGGCGGCCCAACGATCCTGAACAACAAATTTCCTAGTCTGCCCCTTCATCTGTAGGTTCGCGATTGAAGACGATAATGACACGAGTTGCCTGGAGGGGATGGAACGAGGACCGAATGCCTCACGTATTTGGGCAAATCAACCAAGTGGTTACACAATTGCTATTAGGTAGACACTGATTGGTGACTTTGAGAAAACACACGGATAACACGGCTTGAGATGTGGGCAGATACAGTAACCGAAACGGGCTATAACTGATAAGAGAGCAAAGCCATCACTTTTCATACCAATCTAACACACCGTGAGCTACCTGCAAAGCAATTGCGACAGACTGTCTCACTCGCCCCCATTCACCTTCCAGACCCGGACTCTCATCTATCGCGCGTCACCGTTCACGAGGCGAGAAAGCCCAATCACAGCCCCTGTCAGCGGGAACAGGGATCTCGCCAGATGCAGCAGGCTCCACCTCCTAAGCAAACCCTTGGCATCGTCTATGCCGGCGATCACACCCGCTGATTGGCTCTTGAAGTGGAGATCGAAGAGCGTGTTGTTGGTCGGGACCATGAACACCCATGTAAACGGGATCATGGCCACCGTCAGGGTCCCCGCGAGCGCGTACACGGCCCACGGGCGCCCGGTACCCCGAGTCATCGCCCCGGCAGACGCGTAGAGAGTCAATGTCGCGAGGGAGAGGCCCGGCAGCACAAGGTGGCCGTAGTGGTAGAGGCGAACAAATTGATGGAAGAGTTGGGAGGATGTGTCTGTCGTGTCGAGAAAAACAGGTACGGCCATCAAAGAGAGGCCCATCATGGCACCTAGAGAATCAATAAACGGGGGAAAGACGGTGTTGTAAGTTGAGGGGGTATTTTACCGGAAAGAAACGCGCCGGTGAGCACGGCTACGGCGTTGATGGACATGAGTTGTTTGGTCATGAGGTCTTTGGTCTGTCTCAAGACTAACGGTGTTGATGTAAGACTGAAGCATTTCGTCGAGGGACTTGACTCGGTCCGATTGCGTGAAGACATAGCCATCTTATAATTCGTTCTCGTATTGCATTTTACAGCCTGTTCGACCCAAGCCCGAGCGGGAGTTTGTGTATCGGAACACGGACATTCGCAGCGTGAGCTGTGTACTAGGCTGCCTCTCCAAATATTCGTAAGTAGCTAGCACGAGGAACACTCAAGGAGCCTACTCCACTCACAACAAACACAAAAATTCTCTCATTTCTCATTGCTAGTTGTGGAGTGTATGAAGAAGACAGAGTTGACAGAAGACAAAGATATTCTTCTCAAGCCACCAGAAATTATGCCCGGAATCAGTGGATGTTAATAAAAGGCTTAATCAGAATTGCACAACGTAAAAGAGTTCGTTCAGTGTTTCTTCAAAAGCCAGACCAGAGGTTCCTTCGCCAGTCCAACTTGCACCAGTGTATTATCAAATCTACCTAATTGTAATATTCCCGAAGCCAGTCCTTGAGAGCACCCAGTGTAGGATACTCCAGGAATAGACTGCTGTTGACCGCGATGTCGAGGTCTCCACGGAATCTCTCCGCAATGACTAGACTCATGAGGCTGTCCACGCCAACGTCCCCGAGCCTCGTGTTGTCGCTCAAGTCCGCAACATCAATACCGGTCTGACTAGCAATGATGAGCGTGGCTTTGACTGCGATGCTATCAGGGTCTTCGGGAGCGGGCGACATCTTCTCCGGGCTTCGATCCGTTTCTGTCGCGGGAGTCTCACTTCTTTCTGGCTCACTTCCAAGAGCGGAAGCAATGCTCGAAGGCCCGGACGGTGAGTCGATCGATGAGATCAAAGCGGAGACTGGGTTTTTCGTTCCATCAGAGAAGGCCTGATTGTTGCGGAAAGTAGTTGATGATACCGGGCGAGGGGCATCTCGCTTCGGCGAAGAGACCTTCGGTGGGATTTGCGATGAGGCAAACAATTTTGCGGCGTTAGAGTCCGGTGGGGAAAAGAATCGGTCGAGAAGAATCCTTGGGTACCGACGAAATTGGATTCCCCCAACCATTCCGACGATCTCCCTGCCTCTCATAATGTACACGTCACCGCGGAAGACTCCCGTGTCCTCCCGAGACGGAATCATCTTGACGTACGACCGATACAGCACCCCGGGTTCGAGCCGCTTCGCCAGGATCATAGACTGCCAACCGGGCGTGACGCAGAAATTGCCCGCCGTATCGTGGGCGTCGGTCACGTTCATGACAAATCCTGCGAGGTGAGCCACGCTGTCAATGAAGTACGGCGGCACTGTCCAGATGCCGCCCTTCTCTGTGGTGAGCTGCACGTCTGCGAAGGCCTCGAACTCATGCATGACGACCGAGCGCATGCCGCGGTACTTGTCCGCGTAGTTAACGAGGCTCGAGGCGAAGAGGCTGTAGGCCATTTTACTGGAAAATTGCGTGGCTTGGCCCCTCCGCGCCATGTCTTGTAGGGTCTCGATGCGGCTTTCGACGAGGTGCGTGATAGGAACCCATGACCTAAGATATTCGTCGGCGTCGCCGGAGAGAACGGTGGCTGTGGCAAAGGGCTCGGGTTCGGCTGCGCCGTTGATGTTCGTGTTGTGCCACTGCATGTTGATGCCGTTGGCGATGTTGCTGGTGCTGGCAGTGACGCGGATGAGCTGTGGCCGTGAGGTATCAGTTTGCACAACGAGACCCTTGACGACTTTCAGGTTGGCGACGTTGAGATGTTCGTATTTGACGGGAGTTCCTAGTTTCTTCGTCATGTACTCGCTGAGTGTGTAAGCAATGTCCGCGTGTATGGACTGGTTCATTAGGTGTTAGTACAGGAGACCCAAGAGGGGTGGCATAGATTGAAGATATCACTAACCGAGGTGACGACGCCGCAACCGTTCATGTTGTGGCCGTGAGCTGCAGAGAAGAATTCCGCGGACATGAGATCCGACTGCATCGTTACGATGCCGGAGGTGCCATGAAACTCCTCGTGAATGATGGCCTGAACAAGTGAGGTTCGGAAAGACGATACTGGCAGCAGCGCAGCCTTGGTTTGCTTCGGGTTCTCGTAGAACGTGTTGCCTTTGACAAGAGCCCAGTCGCCGTTGTACTGAATCCAGTGATTTTTGTTGTTCCAGCTGTACGTGGGCAAGTCCAACAACCTCAATTCAATTTCAAATGGACGATGGAACTCATTCCAGTCAACATCCAGACCTGCAGAATGCAAGGTAGCAAGACTGTCGGCAAGGGTAGTCCAATTGTCTTCTCCGCGGCGAAGTGAAGGAAGAGCAACGCAGTTTGGACCCAAAGTCGCCTTCAAGAAGCTGGCGTTTACCGGGTGTGGGCCCATCTCGATCCAGAACACGTCCTTGTCGATGATACCAATTTCTAGAGCCTTGTTGACGGCACCGAGAAAGTCGCAGGTCTCTCTCGTTGCCTTCCGTAAATAAGTACTGTCCACGGTCTTGCCGTCGCAGATAACTTCGGCGAGTAGTGGCGAAATGATAGGGATTCTAGGTTCACGGAAGATGATGCCCTCTCGGGCAAAGGCCTCAAAGTCTTGCAGAATGGGGTCAGTCTGCGCAGAGTGGAAAGCGAATGGCACATCGATCGTGGCACAATGATGGCTCCTACGTATAAGAGCAGCTCTCACAGCTTCCAGATCTTGCCAGGTACCGCTGAGAACCGTTGACTTGGGACCGTTGATGCAGGCAACCTCATAAGGGAGGTCTCCTGCAGCTGTTTTGACTTCGTCCACGGACGCTCGAACAGCTAGCATGCCGTGGCTCGCGGCTGTGCACTTTTCTTGTAGCATCTCTGCCCGTTTGCCCACGAGGCAGATAGTGTCGCTTGCCGAGAGAACGCCCGCAACGCATAGAGCCGCGTACTCACCCAAGCTGTGACCAAGGACAACGTCCGGCTTGACGCCGAGAGACTCCCAGTACCTGGCCAGCGCAATCTCCATGCAAGTGAGGGCGATATGCGTGATGACCGCGTCGTGGTCGTGATCCTTATCATGGCTGCCGTCAATTGCCGGGATGAAGGACAGGAAGCCAAGCCGCCTAGCGAGGGCGTCGAGCGTGAGGATCTGTGAGCGGAAGACGGGCGAGTGGTGGAACAGCTGCAGATTTGAGGATTTGAAAGACGCGCCCTGGCCGGTGAAGGTGAAGGCTACGGATGGTACGAGCGTCCTCGAGATTGGACGGTGGGCGTCGAGCTGCTTCAGGCTCGAGTACAGCTGTGTCCGAAGTCCGTCAACTTCCGCGACGTGGAACGCGAACCTGTAGGTATAATGTTGACGGCGGGCAGTGGTGGTGTAAGCTAGATCTGATAGATGAACCGCGGGGTGACTCTCGAGGTACGATAGCAGGCGCTCGATATTGCCTTTCAATGAACTTTTGCTCTTCGCCGAGACGACGACGGTATGGGATGGTCGAGGATCGGCCCCCGTTGCTGCTCGGCTGGGGCCATCTTCCAGCAGAAGTGATGTGTTGCCGCCGGCTGCGCTGAAGCTATTCACCATCGCGAGGCGCTTGTGGTGTGGCTTTCGAGGCCACGAGGTGGCCTCGAAGGGAATGCGTATGTTTCGCTGGTCCATGTGCGTGGGGAGCTTGGGGTTGAGAGCCGTCTTGATGCCTACATGAGGCGGTATCATTTCTCGCTCGAACATGAGCAGCACTTTCAGCAAAGCCGTAGCTCCTGCAACAGCTTCGCCATGACCCACGTTGGACTTCACAGCTCCGATATGAAGTGGCTGCTTCGTGCTTCGACGCTTCAAGAGGGGTGCGAAGACGTCGGTGACGGACGTGAGTTCTTGAATGTCGCCAGCTTGCGTGCCAGTACCATGCGCCTCAATGTAGCTTACGTCGAAAGGGTCAACACCGGCTCTCTCAAGCACTTTTTGGTAAAGATATGCTTGCGAGCCTGCGTGGGGATGCGTGATAGACACGGCATCGGCAGAGTGATTCGTTGCAGCTGCCAAGATGACTCCTAGGATATTGTCGTTATCTTTCTCGGCATCTTCCAGTCGCTTCATCACGAACGAGACAACTCCATCAGCACGACAGTAGCCGTCTGCATCAATGTCCCAAGTTTTGCAAGCATTCGGCGTCTTTGTGAGAAAATGCCCATTGCTGAGGCCGGCGAATGCGTCCGAGTTGGTGAGTATGTTCATGCCTCCAGCGACAACGGTGTCAACTTCGCCGTTCCAAAGAGAAGTGCAAGCGGCCTAGATAATGGTCAACGGCTGAGAAAAAAAAAACAGTGAAGGGCGGAACTGCGTACTGACCTGAATAGTGGCCAGACTCGATGAACAGGCCGTGTCGCAGCTAAAGCTCGGCCCCGAGAACTTGAAGAAGTAATTGATGCGGCCAGGACCAAAGGCGCGGCAGCCACCCGGTATGAAGTACGTGCCAATCTCCTGAGCTGTGTTGACCTCTCGGTAATCATCACTGGCCTGACCGTACCATGTTCCAACGCGAGTCTTGTGGGACGAGAGGGTACGGCCAACAACAAAGCCAGCCCTCTCTAGGGCTTCGAAGGCCGTCACGAGAGCCAAGCGCTGCATTGGGTCCGTTTGTTCCACTTCTCGGGGAGACATATTGAAAAAGCCGGCGTCGAACAAACCTGGGGCATCGACAAAGCAGCCAAACTGTGTGTGGCTGGCGTTCATGTTCTTACGCTCGGGGTCGTAGTGCAATTCTACGTCGAAGCGGTCCTGCGGTATCACGCGATGCACATCGAGCCCCTCTTCTAGGATATTCCATAACGTATCGGGGTCAACTGCGCCCCCTGGCAGCCTGCAGGCCATGCCGACGATGGCAATCTTGGAATCTCGGGGCGACCGAGGCTTCTGCCCTTGAGACGATGATCCCACGTCAATGATGCTTGTTAGTAGATCCACGACGTTCACAGCTGCTTTTGTCTCTCTACTGTCCAAGGCTGTCTGGAGATCCTGGATGGGCAATGAATTGCCAAAGGCCATTAGTTCAATTCCTTGAGACTGGCTCGTGCCAACATTCGCAGAAACATAGTCAACAATCTTGTCCCAAACAATCTGACGAGTAAGTATCTCAAAGATGATCTGTTGGAAAAGCTGGCTGGCGCTTCCTCCAAGAAAGGGAGTGCCATTGCTGGGTGCCAGAACAGAGAACCGCGAGAAGAGCTCCTGTTCTAGCACCAGAGAGCCAACGACTTGATCAGCATCTTGTTCAGTGTATACGTGAGGTGCGTGGCAAAGGCCCCCATATACTGGCAACGGGATTGATTTCCGATTTCTGAAGAATGATGAGGTACGGAAGAGCTCCTTGAGACGCGATGGAGGTCCGCTGATAGTGACTGACGTCCTGCTTTTTGCGCTGATGAAGATCTTGGCTGCTTCGGGAGTTTGCTGTGAATTATTAGTCTGAACTCTGATTCTCGGCTTTCTTCTTGAGGGACAGAATGGATCAGGGTTTACGGTACCTGTCGAGAATGGATACTTTTCAGCTCTTGCTGGACTTCGTCAGTCGTAGCACCATGAACGACATATGCCCATGAGTCGAAAATTCCCTCCTCGTCCAGAGGCTCCAAGGTCTGGGAAACTTGAGCCACAAAGCAACCTAAGCGAAAGGCGATAGATATAACTTGGGCTCCTATAGAAGGGAGGACTTCCAATGATGGCGCAAGTGAGACTGTGGCGGCGACGAGAAGACCGAGTCCTAGGCCCGCCAGGAGGGTGTTGTCCAAGTCGGAGAGGTTGAACTGGCCCGACTTAGTCTCGCAGTAGCTACGTTCTTGTAATTAATCGGATAGCCCATCAAATTTGCAGAATTTCTCAAAGGACTAACCGGATAAATGATCCTATCTGTATGATACATAGGAGGACGCCGTCAATGGAGCCGGACAACACACCGCGACGTAGTTTACGATCCGCTAGCAGGCTCTGAACCGACTCAAAGTAAGGAACAAGCCGTCTCAGGTCAAGAGGAAGCTTTTCAACCTCATCACGAACGGCGGCAGTTGCTTCCTCCAGGAAGCGGGAAAGGTGAGGATGTCTTTTGTCTTTGCTGTCTAGGTACAATCGCCGCAGCGTCTGCGATTCCGCTGGAGGAAACTCGTTACTGAAGAAAATAAGACGAGAGGGGTTTTCCATTTTGGATAACGTTTGTAATAGAATGAAAACAGGCTGAGAATCCAGGGAGTAGTATTGTAGCTTTGGGCGCCACCGTATTGGAGTAGGCCTGGTTTTGAGGAGGTCCTTTGATGAATAAATCTAAATCTGAGTGCCAATCGGTCTCCTTTCGGCTTGAACCTGCAGTACTGCTCTGTATTCAATGTAGATAGATCCATATGCATGATACTTGTCTCAGCATGAAAAGAATATGCTATACTCTGATAGATGGCTCACGGGGTTCACTCGCCTCTGTTCGGGTGGCAAGGAGCATCCGATTGTTTCGCACCCGAATTCCGGTGGCCCCGGAGGCCGAACCAAGGCGATGCCTAAACCCGATAATGCTTCTGAATGCAATACCATGGCACAGGACTCTGGACAGCAACCGTCTTATCTTTACCTTTTCAAGCGCATTCCTTATGACCTTATCGTGAGTGCTAAACTTGAGGGAAGAGGGGTAAATGGATCCGGTTTCTTGTAATAGGTGACTTCATCCCTTTCCACTCATGATGTTCCCGTGCGAGCCCAAAATCCATATTTCTCATGATCTAAGCACCCTGCGTGTAGAATTTGTGCAACATGGGCCAAGGGGGCTACAGGCAAATCAACAAAGCGCTCAATGTGTCTGTCTTTGAGAGTTATCTTGAGACACAGCAGACGCAACTACCAAAACTCCAAGACATCCAACAGCTGAGCCCCAGGGTGATCCGAATACTCGGGCAAAATCCCGGCAAGGTACGCTAAGAACAGAACCCACATCGGACTCTTGTATATAGATGAGTTTATGAACAATCACCGATTCTCATGGCTGCTTGTAGTTTACGCTTCAGGGAACAAACACCTACATCGTCGGCACCGGAAAGAAGAGGCTGCTCATCGACACCGGCCAAGGAATGCGCGAGTGGGCGAACATGGTCGAAACCACCCTTGGCAAGCATGGCATAGGCTTTTCGCACATAATGCTGACGCACTGGCACGGTGACCACACTGGCGGCGTGCCAGATCTCCTTCAAATGTTTCCAGACCTCTCGGATCGTGTGTTCAAGCACAGTCCCTCCGAAGGACAGAGGCCAATCGCGGACGGGGAGACGTTTAGCGTCGAGGGTGCCACCCTACGGGCTGTTCACGGAGGAGGCCACTCGCACGATCACGTCTGCTTCGTGCTCGAGGAGGAAAACGCCATGTTTACAGGCGACAACGCCCTCGGCCACGGGACCAGCGCTGTGGAGCACCTCGGCCTCTACATGCAGACCCTTGAGAAGATGAAGATGCAGGGATGTGCGGTGGGATATCCCGCCCACGGCGATGTTATCGCCAATCTGACGGCAAAGATTACTCAAGAGCTTGCATCCAAGACACGTCGCGAAGAGAGATGTCTCGGCGTTATGAGTAAGCTGAAGAGCGAGAGAGGAGGAATGGGGAGGATGGCCAGCGTCACGGTAAAGGAACTTGTCCTCGCTATGCATGGCAGTGAGGTGGATGATGTGATGAGAGAAAAGGCGTTGGAGCCGTTTGTGGACGAGGTTTTGAGGAAGTTAGCCGAGGATAGAAAAGTCGCTTTCCACTCACGGGATGGCGTCAGGCGCTGGTTTCTGCTTTCGTAAAACGCCGCTCAATTTACAAGCAATATTTACTTACAGGCAAAAGAGAAGATCATCTGATTTCTATGTTATGTGCCCGATGATTCATCAATGACTACATGTAGCAAGCGTTTCGAACGCGCGCGGTTGCCCGAAACAATTTGGTCACGACGTCGATGTATTTCTTGAGCCGCTGGATCGGTTCTTGATAGAATTGTTAGACATTTCATCTGGAACTAACAAGAAACCTAATGGCCGACATTGATGCTTGTATAACTGAATGCACCGATAGGAAAGGCTTCAATTTAGTCGATTCTAAAAACGAACTCTGTGTACCTACTGATATCAAGCCGCGCCGCCATCGATCTCGATAACCTTGCCGTTGACCCATTCTGACTCTTCAGAAGCAAGAAACCCGACGACCTTTGCAATGTCGTCTGGATAACCGCAGCGTTTGAGTGGTGACACATTAGCAACAATCTGATTGATCAATGGGTCAGTCCTCGTTTCTTCTGATGTCGCGACTGCCTTTGTAAACAAGAACAAGAGCTTTCTTACGTTCAAGATTTCTTCCTTAGTAAGGTTCTCCGCGTTCGGCAGGTAATCCTTGGCCGTCTCGTGGAACATGTTCGTTACAGTCCCGCCGGGAGCGATGGCGTTGATCGTGATCTTCTTCTTGCCACAGTCCTTAGAAAGAACACGCACGGCGGCGTTGATAGCGGCTTTGGACGCCGAGTACACCGCATGCCGGGGCACCGAGAAGGAGACCGCCGTGTTGGAGCTCATGAGGATGATACGTCCGCCTTCAGAAACATGCTTGTAGGCCTGCTGTGCAACGAAAAACTGGCCTCGCGTGTTGATATTGAAGACTCGGTCAAACTCCTCCTATTATACGTGCTTCATGTTAGAAAAGCAACCGATTCCCTTGAGAATGTACACGTGAGGAGGATATTATCGGTTTGAAAAACTTGCCTCAGTAACCTCGTCAAGATGGCCGAATGAAACTACGCCCGAGTTCGAGCAGACAATGTTCAGTTTGCCAAAGTGCGCAGCAGCCTCTTCAAATAGGCGAACCGTCTGGGACACTTTGCTCACGTCGGCTTGAATGGCAATGGCATCAGATCCGAGACTCTTAATTTCCTGCACCACCTTGTTGGCCGACTCTGCTGACTTTGCGTAGTTGATGACGACCTTAGCACCAGACCGTGCCAGCTGAAGAGCTATAGCTGCGCCAATACCACGACCGGAACCGGTGACGAGCGCAACCTTGCCATCCAGGCGGTAAGGCGAAACAGGAGGCGAAATGGAACCCATGATTTTGGTTGATGGTGATATTAGCGGTGGAGTGGGCAGTTAGTTTAATAGAGATAAAGTGTGAATGGGAATGATCGCACTCCTGGTACCATGGAATTTTATGTTCAGTAACCGCGCAGATTCTAGTCGGGGTGCAAGAAATGTCGGAATCGACCAGAAGACCGGTAGACCGGGACTGGCTTCGTTCGGGTCTGCGGTGGAAACATCGAATCATTCGGCGGAACCCCGAAGCAGCAAAATCAGGTACCATTGACACTGGACGGGTTTTACACAGCCCAGTTTGAACGATAGAAATTGATCAAACATAAATTCGGCATTGGGGTTCATGATCGTTGTCGAACTCTCTAGAGTTTATGGGAACCTGTGTTGCCAAAGCACATGCGCAGGTTGATTATCTCGACAACGAAAAGTCAGATACAGGAAAGGCTACAACCTATTATCGTCTAGCTGTAACAACAACATCGAGGTGAATAAAGATAACCGTCATCTGTATTCAAAGACGTGAGTAGCAACGAGGCTTGCACCGAAATACATTTAGCAAGGTAGCAGAAGCAGAAAGCAGATCTTGGCGATCATGCGGCCGAGTTCAGGTGAAGGAAGGCATGGCTAGGCAAGGTTAAGGCTTTTGCAACATGTGTTCAACTTAGATTCGGGAAAAGTACAATGAATCTAGCGCGAGTGGCGCCAAGTGGGTTACAACTTGGAATGAAGGCGATGCTACGGAGTGTAAGGCACATCAAGCTAGGCTTCAGATGCTCTGGAGGCGGTTACCCAACGGAATCATTTACTTTCGAGGGCCAACCCCATTAGTTCAACAGAAACTCGGAACGCCAAAGCATGTTGGCTGCTTGTAGTATTCTTGCCCACTATCTTATACAAATATTTTTTCATAGTCATCTTCCGACCATCGAATAGTAGGTTCGATGCCGGCAAATTTCCATGAGTCATCTATCTTGCGATAGAACACGGTGGCAATCCCGTGGGCGTGGCCCTTGAGCGCAACACTAGTAAGGTCCTCGTCCTCGTACTTTTGATGGGCCACGCGCATCTGATGGTAACCCACCATCTCGTCAACGCTTTTCTTGGACCATTTTTTTGCCCCGCCGACAAAGTGCTGCGTCCGGATTTGCTTGTTTCCCAGGAAATGCGGGTTCGACACCATCTGGATGAAATCGGCCGCTGGTATAGCCTCCCAAATCTTATTAAATATGGAGCGGTAATCAATCTGAGATGAATATTGGCATCGGAATCTTCTTCTAAAATATCGGATAGTTTGATGCTTACGTATAATGTCGGTGCGATGCACTTTGCAAGCCGGTCCCAGTCCTTGGTATCGTAGCTCTCAGCCCACTCGAAAAGAGCGGCTTCACACCCGGAAACATCTTTGAGCAATGGTTGAGTTAGTTCAGGCCGCACAAGGAAAGGCGTTTACGTTTCAATAGGGCAAAACTGACCTTGAAAAGTGATGTCCATAATAAGGAAGAAGCTAAAAGAATTGTACAATTGCACTTCGAGCCACTACGTGCAGCACCTAGCATATGGTCTTGGAAACTTACCAGTTGCGTGCACAAGGGGGGTTAAATGGGCTGCAGTCATATCGCTAGCCTTTCTGAAAATATTTCAGTACGCAAACCCAACGATAGCGTATCTTCGCGGTCACTGTGCTGTCAATCCCGAGAACTCATGGATGATCGGACTTCGGGCTAAATGGCTTTGGTTATTGTCGGCTCATCACTGGTGTCTATTTCTACCACAGTAATCAGCACGAGATCCCACCCGACAAGCTCTGCAACACATCACACTACCGTCTCTTCATATCGAAATTACACGCTACTCTACATCGGCGAATATAGCAGATCAACATCGAACGCGCCAAAATGATGGACACAGCGTCTTCGCAGGCGGCTACTATCGAAAAGTTCATTGATGGATGGAAACGGTGGAACGCTACTGATATGCTGGCCGTCTTTGCCGATGATTTTACTCAAGTAACGCTCCCCTTTGGCTTGGGGGTTCCAGAGAGGAAACGGGACGCCGTGGAACGTGCCCTCCCGGCTTTAGTGGGTATTGTCAGCAATTACAAGGTTTGTGTGGTCTGCAACCTTTGCCATCGCCGGGGGTCCAGCTCAACTGATCCCGGTTGACCGATTCAGAACTAACTCAACCTCGGGATTTAGTTGACTGTACACGAAGTGTTGCATGATGCGGCCAAAAATAAGGCAGCAGTATATGCGGTCTCCACTGGGGAGTCTCCTTTTGGTCCATGGGAAATGGAATATGCCGCGTTTCTGCACTTCAGCAAGGCCGGGGACAAGATTGTTCGGCTGGAGGAGATGCTAGACTCAGCTTTCACAAAAGACTTTGCTCCAAAGTTTCAGAAGTATCTGCAAGATCGGCAAGCAGAGTGTCGGGCTTAATCTCACTCTATGAGCTAGAGACCGTGCCGTCAGCATCAGCGCATTTAATACAAAGCTGTGGAATGCAAAAGCTTCAATTGAGCATCACATCCATTATCTCATATGAAGACATCTAATGCCCATCATCTCAACATCCGAAAATGAGCCGCCGCGTGAGTGTGTGTATATGAGAGACTTGGATTCAACACGCCTTGTTTCTCGGGTCTCGGGAGAGGCGGTCAAATTGGACATGGTGAGCGTGCCCGACCAGCTTTGAGGGTGCGAATATATGACCTCAATTGATGTCACGTAGTAAAAATGATATTAATTACTGGAATCAAGTTGCGAGTACTCATGATCGCTTACCACGACCATTGAACAATGTCCCCGCGCAACGATATGGCCGAAATCCCAGTCATCGATTCTGAATATGTTGAACCAGCGCGCGTGCCGGTCGTGGATTATCAATCACTTGCCTCTCCCGACAACGCGAAACGACGAGTGGCCGTCCAGCAACTCGACGCAGCCTTCCGGGAATACGGTTTCGTCTATCTTTCTAACCATGGGATACCAAAGGAAAGGGTCGAGCAGGCATTTGAATGGGTATGACCAGAAATCTCACTATGGTCAAGTGAGTGCCGTACCAGTACCTACTGACATCATGACAGTCACGGCGATTCTTTGAGCTGGACGCGAGAGTGAAAGAATTGATCGCCCATCCTCCCAGTGGCGAGATTGACGACAACCGCGGCTGGGCCAAGACCGGGCTCGGTCACACCGTCCAAATGGTCTTCGACCCCGACGAAGCGGACGCCTTTCGCCAGAGCAACCCCGACTGCAAGGAAACACTGGAGCTTGGAAACCCCTTTTCAGCTACGGTTCCTCCCAACAAGTGGCTTCCCGAGAACGTCTTGCCGGGCTTTCGAGCCTTTGCCGAGTCGTGGTGGACAGACTGCGAAGGGCTTGCTCACGACCTCTTTCGATTCCTGGGTGAGGCCCTGCAGATTGACGACCGCGACTACTTCAGTCGCATTCACTCGGAAAATGATTGTCACATGACCTGGAATTTTTATCCCTCGACTCCCCTGCAGAAGCCCGGCTTGGAAAATGCCAAGCGACTCAACGCGCATACCGATTTTGGGACGCTCACCATCGTCTTTCAGGATGCGGTTGGCGGACTCGAGGTGCACGACGGGCACATTTTCCGACCCATCCCGCCTGTATCCGGCGCTATGGTCGTGAACGTCGGAGATATGCTCGAGCAATTGTCTAATGGGAGGTGGAAGAGCGCATTGCACCGCGTAGTCGCTCCGAAACAGCACCAGACACCGGGCAGTGAGGGTCCCCGGGGCGAAAAGAGCGTGAAAGTGATAGACAGGTATTCACTAGTCTACTTTGGCGTGCCCAATCCGGATGAGGTGATTGGAATAGTCCGGGGCTGTGAGGTGCCGGGGACTTGGAAGCCGATCATGGATGGAGAATGGGGCAAGCTTTCGGCCAGAGAATGGATTCAGAAACGACTCGCTGTTGAGTACTGAGACTAGCAGCTGTCCGCTTGTGTGGTAATTGCATGAACTATCGCAAAGAAATGTGTGCAACATAAAAGGCCTTGTTTTCATTCGTTTTCCTTGGGGGCAATAAGTAAAACAAATCGCTCAATACTCCCCTATCCTGCTGCCAATTTTTCTGTTGCGCTTATTAGTCATTATCACTCTCCTTGAATTACTACTGTACTCCATATTGCATTGGAAGATGGCTGCCGTTTCAAATTATACAATGTTCGTCATGGACCCTTCCTTGCGATAGTACCAACTAAATGTCCCAACTATAGCCCCGAGTCCCTGAGTCTCGCTGGAAAGAACGCTATTGTGACCGGATCTTCTAGAGGCATCGGCAAGCAAGTTGTTCTCGAACTAGCCTCCCGCGGCGCAAATGTCGCCATCTGCTTCGTCTCGGATCTCAGTAGGCCGGCCGCAGATAAACTCGCAGTAGAGATCAGGTCCAAGGGCGTTTCGGCAACCTGTGTTCAGGAGGATCTCGCCCTGAATGGCTCGGGCCAGCGTTTGGTGGAGAAAGCGCTAGCGGGGCTGAAAGCCGACACCATCCACATCTTGGTCAATAACGCAGCTCTTGATCCGGACTCACCAACCCCGGTGCTCCAAAGTCCGGGGCATCTTTTTGATAGGTCCGTGAATAGTCTTGTTATATGGAGTATGCGTACGGCCGATGCTGAATTATACCCATGTCTTTCTGCAGGTGTATGCAAGTCAACGCCAAAGCCCCCTTGGAGCTTGTCTCTGCCATGGTGCCCAACCTGCCACATGCCGGGGGTCGTATTATCAGCATGTGGGTATTCCAACGCGCCATTGACTGTAGTGGAACTCACCGTGAGTGAACGGTTCTCGCTAATTCTCGGATTCGGGGTTCAATAGCTCTTCGGTGCTCGCGCGCCGACCGGATGTGCCCTTCGCAGCCTGGGCTTCATCCAAGGCCGCTCTCGAATGTTTGTCGCGATTCTGGGCCCAAGAACTAGCCACTCCCCACGGACTGACCAGCAATGTCATCGCTATTGGCCCAACTATGACCGACTATCATGCCCAAGACCCGCCTGAAGTGCTCGAGGAGCTCTCTCAATTGCCCAGCGCCGCGAAACGTCTCGGAACGATTGACGACGTTGCACAGATTGTTGCTTTTCTAGCAAGCGACGCAAGTCGATGGATCAACGGGGATGTAATTCAGGGTAACGGGGGCATGCAGTTTAGCTAGTCAGGTGCGCAGCAATTTTGAGTTCCGGATCTGTCTTGCGCAAGATTCCGTCCCCAGAACCTGGATCCAAAGCTGACGTATTCATCACTATTGATTTGAATACCACTGTGACTCTTCGCGAAAAGAATTCTGGCGGTACCATCATCGGACGCAATAGGTGGTGGAGCCGGAAACCCGACGTTACGAAGACGAAGCCCGACCCAAGATGACCAACATCACCACGTTTAAGAGGAATGCCCTGTTTACGTACTTTCGCAGTATCCCACATAGCTACATACAATTCATGATTACGTTGGGCATAACTCGAACAAACATCGTCAAATGGCCTCTCAAATCGCCCTTTCTTCCGAGCACGCTGGCATCCTATGCGACGCTGATGTTTCGTCAGATGCTCTAAATGAAGCAAACAACCTTCTGCAAGCCAATCACGATAAATGGCATATCTTTTTCCGAGACGTGACTGGTCACAACCACACCGCGCACAGCATTCTAACGTGCTTGGCCCTGGGTGCTGACTCGAGCGATCTCCAGAGGGCATATGACGATACAGTGGATATCCAACGAACAAAACCAGACATGAACGCAAAAGTTCTGCAGCAGCTCAACAAAGATGAAGAAAACCTGGGCGAATTATTGGGCACCTGCGATTTGTATTCAACCTTTCTAGCTTTCTTTGAAGGCGAAATCAACAAGCACGGATGGAAACAAGTGGTCAACCGCTTCGTTTTCTCGCGCACTCCACTGGCTGAGAAGATGCTAATTAAGATGTACGAGGGCATGTATCATTCGCTCATACACCTGGGACTAGGAGTCGAGTGGGAGCAGCCTGGTATAATCGCCGAAGCCCTTGCACAGGCTGCAACTCACGAGGATGGCCATATTGGCGCACTCCTTTTTAGCAGCGAGATCATGGCCAAGGGCCAACCTCATCCAGAAAAGTCGCTATCGCTCTTGGGGCTCTCTCAACAGGTCCAGAACAACAAGGCCATCTTCACAGCCCCGAAGTGGGAAGATCGATGGAATAGAATGAGGAACGGCGTCATGGACGATGCCGCAAGCGAACTCGCGCCTATCGCAGCCCAATTCCGCATCCGCTCGGTAGACCTCGAGCGTCGCACCGCGGAGATGATCAGTTTCTCAGCTTACCTTGCCGGAGCCAGTCAGCGTCCTGCTAAGAAGTGCAAGATCGACTTCTTCCTCATGCATGTAGTCACCAGCTCCATCTTCTTCACCATATTCAATAAGCAGGATTGGATCGCGATGGAAGACCGTTTGCGATTAGTAGAGTGGAAAGGACGACTGGACCTGGCCTTTTATGCATTCTGTCGCTGTCCCGACCTCCATAGCGAGGCAATCACGGAGTACTACGACGAATTCACTAAGGATATGGACTGGAAGCAACTCTACGCTGCGGTGACTAAGGAGCATGACGACGGACACGTGGCCAAGTTCATACGAGCGTTGAGAAATGGGGAGGAGTCTGCCAAAGCCCATGAGGGGGGCGCATGGAGTGCTAACTTTCCAGTCAAGGGGGACATGTGGTTGAAGTTGGCGCGCATGTCCCTCGGGTCTACGCGGGGAGTGACTGCAGAGCTGAAATGGATTATGGGCACAGGGTTCGACGAAGCCTGGAGCAGACCCGATTTGAAGTGATGGGCTGAAGAAGGTCTTATGTGGCCGGGTTGGTTCTTGAATAACGTTGAGTTCCGGAGGGGCCGAAAACTTGCTTAAGAGACCATATGCGTGCCGAATTTGGATATGAAATTGCTCTTTCCAAAAGGCTTGTCACTATCCGTAGATAGTTCGGGAATAGCGAATAAATAAAACACACCAGTAACCGGAGCGAGGAGTAATCTTTCAATCGTGGCTTGTGGGTCTTGTACTAACGACTACCTTCTGGTCTGCAAGGCATTGAGGATTGGCGACTTGTATTGAAATGGAGGATCGATTCCAGAAGATGAGAAGCAGACACCGGCCATTAAATAAAATATAATAGAGAAGGGCTATTTCAAGATTGCGACCCGTAACAAGGTACATAAACGCAGGCAATGTGTGATAAAGTTTCAGTGCGTTTGTACTTACAATGGAAGTGGTTTTTGATAAAACCTCATACGTTTTAAAGTTGCTCAAAAATCATGCTAATCGTCTTGATTCGAAGCGGACGATGTTAAAGTTACGCTCTATCATGGACATAAGGATTTACTTGAGTCTGATTTCTAATTGTCATCTTGTGATCTCTCTCAAGCAGGCCCCGGCGTTGGAAGGTAAGGGTGCGTGAACGGAAAGTAATGACGAAGTAAGCCAGTCAAGATACACCAAGGCGTTCCAGATGGCAACTTCGCGCTTCCCCCAGAATTGACAACGCTAACATTTCGCATATCATACTGCCCACTCTCATCGTTCGCTGCTTCTAGCATTGCGGCCGCTAGGTCTTGATACGAGATAAAGGACTCTTCTCGATTCATATCTAACTTATGACCTCTTTGCTTGTCGACAGACAGGCCGCCAGGCTTGATAAAAATGGTAGTGATCCTATCGCCATGCATCCGTAGAAACGCCTCGGTCTGCCGGAGGTCCTCGTATACATTTGATGCAGACCTAAGTAAAATAGCGCGGAGCCACAAGGGCGTATGCTGGGAGAGGTGGTCGTCAATGGTCGCGGATGAAAGGAGGACGATCTTGGGCAGCTTCTCGCCCTGCGCAACATCTCGTGACCAAGACGCGGCCTCGATCATTTTCAGAGCATCCACAATGCCTTTCGCTGTGTCAAGGCCAACATGACAATCCGGCACGTTCGTGTTTGTGCTAACGACGTGGAATACGGCTTTGGCGCCTTGGATGCATTGTGCGAGGAGTTCGACGTCGTGAATGCTTCCCTCAAAGACCTCTACCCGTTTACTGTCGAGGACGTAGGGTGCTGCTTTGAGCAACTTGTTTTTGTCGCGGCAAAAGGCTCGGATGTGGGCGGCAGGGTTACGAGAGAGTTGCTCAATTAGTGCCGTTCCTGTGTTTCCTGTTGCCCCTATGATGGCATATACAGGCATGGCTATGAATAGTTGGCGGGGCCTTGATAGCAAATGTGCTGAAACAACGTCAATGATTAAAACATAGAATGGCTTTAAGTTAAGGTAATGTGCCGAACTATTATAAGATCATACTACTGCTCTCCCTTCTTCGGGCATGCAAGGGTTCGGGGGAATTACACTATAGTTAAAGCCCGGGGCCCGTCGTCAAGACACTCATCCCCAAAACCCGATTACTATTAACGTACGTCGAGGGCGCGGGGCCCACTAAGCATATATATAGTCCTAGCTCTATTACAACGTATATAACTCATATACGAATTATAAAATAATAAAAGGTAAGAGTTAATATTAATATCAATACAAACTTAATTACGAACTTTAAATTTACTTTAGCTTTATAGTAATATAGCTAGAAGGCTGGTATAATTAATAGCTAGCGGACCTTTTTAGAGTTCTTATTAAATATAAGTTAATTCTAGATATGCCTATAATAAAAACTAATTATAATCACTTATTATAAGTCGGGTTAAGAATTAAAAAGATGCATACTTTTAAGGATAAGAAAATTATTTTAGTTTAGGTTCTAAAGTGATTAAACTTCTTTTAAAGCTATTATAAAAGAGGTTCTCTATAGGGAATGGCCCTAGCTTATATAGAGGAACAAGATTTAATACAGGGACAGAGATAGCAACGACCAAGAGTTTTATTATAACGGTATCTTAGGCACGACTAAGTCTTTCGACCGCAAGTCTCCCGCCGGCCTCGCTCCATGAAGCACGATGGGGATTGCTTCAGCGTTCACGGTGTCCGCAAAATGATTTTGCAAAAACCAGTTCCGGCCGAACCCGAATCTCCCCCACGAGATATGCAAAGTGCCTCCACCTCAAGTACGCCACCGCATCTACCCAAATTACATATACGGTCATCCCCATATTCGACGTCTTCCTCATACTGAGAGACCTCCGAGCCAGGCCCGAACGGCATATGCAGGCACAGGATTATGTCAGGCAACGACGAACCATGCCTTTGCAATACATGGTTTGCCTGGCGTTTCGTCGTCGAATCTGTAAGCACATCAAGATCAGCAAGAGTCGAGCCCAAAAGTCTTCAGTACTCACTATTCTGGAGATCCGTCAGATGATCGTCACTCGCTCCTACTTCGATCCCGTCAAACTCGGGTTGGATCCATTTGATTGCGAACCTGAGCTGTCACTCTCGGCCTCATCCTGGAGTTTCTGGATCGCGCGGGCCAGATGCTCCATGTCGCGGGCGGTGGATGCCATGTTCGGCCGACGATGGCCAAGCTGGTTGATGATAAAGACAATCGGGACAATTGCGCCTCTGAAGGGGGGCTTCGCCCGCCTTTCCCGAGTACCATCAGTGGCTTCTGATGCGGCCATGGCTTCAGGTTCAGACTGCTGAATTTCGGACGCCAGGAGCGAATTACGCTATCGCCGCTTCGTACGTCGGTCAATCTGTATATGCCGCAGTGAAAGTAGAAGGGCGAAAGAGTGGCGCAGTCGTCCTGTTCTGGGTGCTCTGTCGATAGGGAAGTGTAGAAAAGATAGCGGGGAAGTTTGGAGCTCACCCATCAATAACCCTCACAGCAAGAGCACTCCGGTAACTTTGGGAGGGAAGGAAGAGGCCACATTTGCAAGTGACGAGGGGGAGGCAGGAAGGACAAAGGTTCCTGCCTGCCTTCTGCCTACCTTACGATCATATAGTAGGACCAAACAATGCAGTGGCCTTTCCGGAGGGAATCAAAACTGGGAACGGCAGGTGGGCAAGATGCATCCGCCCTGACAGCTTTTTTCCCGTCAACGACCCAGATAGCAACCCAACAACGTCACTAATATTATTAATAAACCGCACGAGTACGCTATTAACTATAGCCGGTGTATTAAACATTTTCGCATCGGTTTTATATTAAATACCTTATTTAACTAACCGAGCTAGCTTTTTATTTATTATTAATAAGTAAAAAAATTCTAAAATTTATAACCTAATTAACTAACTAAGCTAACTTTTTACTTATTATTAATAAGTAAAAAAAATTAAGTATTAAATACCTCGTTTAACTAGCCGAGCTAACCTTTTACTTATTATTAATAAATAAAAGAATTTAAGTATTAAATACCTTATTTAACTAGCTAAACTAGTTTTTTACTTACTATTAATAAGTAAAAGAATTCTAAAATTTATAACTTAGTTAACTAGCTAAGTTAACTTTTTATTTATTATTAGTAAGTAAAAGAAGTTTAGAATTTATAACCTAATTAACTTTAATTATATTTCCTATTCTAATCCCCTTAATAAATAAAAATAATAATAAATCTATTACTTTTTATTTTAACTTTCTTTTTTAAATTTATTATAGAGCCTTCGTTATCTTAAGATTTTTTTTATTAAAATCCTATTTATTATACTCGTTTTTACTATATTATATAAATCTTATATAAATAGTACCCTTTTTATTAATAAACTATAAACTAACTCTATTTTTTTTTTTAATAAACTAAAACCTCTCTATTTTTTTTTAGTTTTTAGTTACTTATACTATAAGTTAATATTTTTTAATAAAAATATTAAAATACTTAATCTTAGTATATTAACTAATATCCTTAGCGTAATAAATTAATAAATTATATTTAAAAATCCTTACTCTTTTTTTAAGCCTAGCTCTTTTATAAAATAGCTCGTTAAGTAGTTATTAATACTATTTTTTTAGCTAGTTATAAAACTATTTTTTTATAAAAAGTTTTATAATTATAATACCTTAGGCCTATTTTATAAATAAAAATCTTTTAAATTAACCTATAACTTTTAAAGCTTATATTATTATATATATATTTAGATCTATATAAAAACTATTTTTATTTTAATAAATATATTTATAATACTCCCTTACTACTTAACTAAAAAAGCTAATTTTAAATATTTTAATTTAATAAGCGTTTTTATAAGTCTTTTAATTTTTAAAACTCCGTTACTTATTAAAAAAAAGATTACTTTATACTTAGTTAATAAGTAATATAAACGATTTTTAGAGGTTATTTTAAATATTTAATAAAAAAAAAGTTCGCTAATATAATAATAATTATCTTTTTATAATTTAAAGTTCCCCTTCCCTAGCTCCTTTTTAATATTTTAAAACGCTATTTAGAACTCTAATATTCTTTTTAATATATCTTTTTTTTTAATTCTTTTTTTTAATACTTTAAGCGTCCTAAGTACTTATATAATTATTTTAATTATATTAAGTATTTTAAATAATATAGCTACCTATTTATAAATATCTCGTTTTTTTTTTTTTATAAAATAGTTATAAATAGTTCTTATATTTCTTTTATAATCTTAGTACCCTTAGTTACTTTATTAATAAATATATTTTCTTTTTTTTATTTTATAATAACTATAAGTTCGGGAGGTTTTATACTTTTATTATTATTAAAACTATTATTTAATTATATTTTTAAAATCTTCTCTCTATACCGTTCGATTATTTTTTTAACTTAGTTTTTTATTCCTAAGTATTAAGCTCGCTCTTATATTAAAAATTAAAAATACTTACGGACGACGCCCTAATTATAGCCTAAATTATTTAAAACTACTACTAGCTTCGTAATATAAACTACGTATTTATTTATTTTATTATATTAATTTAAATCCTCTCTAAACTTAGAACTTAGTTTTTAAAACTAGTTACTATTTTATAATAGTTTTAAAAATATTAACTTTAATAATAAACGTATTAATAAGCTAAATAATACTATATTTAAGTTTTTATTATTTTATAATATTAAATATTTTTATTTTATAGAGTTATCTAGTAGTGTTTTAAAAATAATTTTATAAAAATATATTATTTTTTATTTTAAAAGCCTTATTAATTAAGTACTAAAGGGTTAGGCTTAAAAAGAAAATTTAAAATTTATAAATCTTAAATACCCACTACCTTAGCTAGCTTTTTACTTACTAATAATAAGTAAAAAGATTTTAATCCTAAATACTTATATTAACTACCTAAGCTAACTTTTTATTTACTATCAACGAGTTAAAAAATAATTTAGGATCTATAAACCCTAACTACTTACTACCTTTACTAACCTTTTATATGCTATTAGCGAGATAAAGAAATATTTAAGCTTTATAAACCCTAAATACCTGGGCTAACTTTTTATTTACTATTAGCGAATAAAAGAATTTAGTTATTAAATACCTTATTTAACTAGCCGAGCTAGCTTTTTACTTATTATTAGCGAGTAAAAAATTTTTAGAATTTATAACCTAATTAACTAGCTAAGCTAACTTTTTACTTATTATTAGTAAGTAAAAGAATTTAGTTATTAAATACCTTATTTAACTAGCTAAGCTAACTTTTTACTTATTATTAGCGAGTAAAAGAAATTAAGTATTAAATACCTCGTTTAACTAGCCGAGCTAACCTTTTACTCGCTATTAATAAGTAAAAAAATTTAAGTATTAAATACCTCGTTTAACTAGCCGAGCTAGCCTTTTACTTACTATTAGCGAGTAAAAGAATTTTAAAATCTATAACTTAGTTAACTAGCTAAGTTAACCTTTTATTTACTATTAATAAATAAAAGAATTTAGTTATTAAATGCCTCGTTTAACTAGCTAAGCTAACCTTTTACTTATTATTAACGAGTAAAAGAAATTAAGTATTAAATACTTTATTTAACTAGCCAAGCTAGCCTTTTCCTCGCTATTAGTAAATAAAAGAATTTTAGAATTTATAACCTAGTTAACTAACTAAGCTAACCTTTTACTTATTATTAATAAGTAAAAGAAGTTTAGAATCTATAACCTAGTTAACTTTAATTATATTTCTTACTCTAATCCCCTTAATAAATAAAAATAATAGTAAATTTATTACTTTTCGTTTTAACTTTCTTTTTTAAATCTATTATAAAGCTTTTATCGTCTTAGGATTCTTTTTTATTAAAATCCTATTTATTATATTCGTTTTTATTATATTATATAGGTCTTATATAAATAGTACCCTTTTTATTAATAAATTATAAACTAATTCTTTTTTTTTTTTTTTTTAATAAACCGAGACCTCTCTATTTTTTCTTAGCCTTTAACTATTTATACTACGAGTTAATATTTTTTAATAAAAATATTAAAACGCTTAATCTTAGTATATTAATTAGAATCCTTAGTATAATAAACTAATAAATCGTATTTAAAAATCCTTATTCCTTTTTTAAGCCTAGCTCTTTTATAAAATAGCTCGCTAAGTAGCTATTAATACCTTTTTCTTAGTTAGTTATAAAACTATTTTTTTATAAAAAGCTTTATAACTATAGTACCTCGGGCCCGCTTTATAAATAAAGATTTTTTAAATTAATTTATAATTTTTAAAGCTTATATTATTATATATATATCCGGATCTATATAAAAGCTATTCTTATCCTAGTAGATATATTTATAATACTCTCTTATTACTTAACTAAAAAAGTTAATTTTAAGTATTCTAATTTAATAAGCGTTTTTATAAGTCCTTTAACCTTTAGGACTCTATTACTTATTAAAAAAGAGACTATTTCGTACTTAGTTAATAAGTAATATAAACGATTTTTAGAAGTTTTTTTAAATATTTAATAAAAAAAAAGTTCGCTAATATAATAATAATTATCCTTTTATAGTTTAAAGTTCCCCTCCCTTAGTACCCTTTTTATATTTTAAAACGCTATTTAAGACTCTAACGTTCTTTTTAATATATCTTTTTTTTTAATTTTTTTTTTTTAATATTTTAAGCGTCCTAAGTACTTGTATAGTCGTCCTAGTTATATTAAATATTTTAAATAATATAGCTACTTATTTATAAATATCTCGCCTTTTTTTTTTTTTATAAAATAGTTATAAATAATTCTTATACTTTTTTTATAATCTTAGTACCCTCGGTCGCTTTATTAATAAATATATCTTCTTTTTTTTATTTTACGGTAACTACGGGTTTAGGAAGTCTCGTATTTTTATTATTATTAGGGCTATTATTTAGCTACGCTTTTAAGGTCTTTTTTTTATACTATTTAATTATTTTTCTAACTTAATCTTTTATTCCTAAGTATTAGGCTCGTTTATATATTAAAAATTAGAAATATTTATAAACGACGCCCTAATTATAGCTTAAATCGTTTAAAACTACTATTAGTTTTATAATATAAATTACGTACTTATTTATCTTATTATATCGGTTTAGATCCTCTCTAAACTTAAAAATTAATTTTTAGAACTAGTTACTATTTTATAATAGTCTTAGAGATATCGACTTTAATAATAAACGTATTAGTAAGCTAAATAATATTATATTTAAGTCTTTATTATCTTATAATATTAAATATCTCTATTTTATAGAGTTATTTAGTAGTTT